GAAACTTTATTACCGGGCATGTATGCCCAGAGTGATTCTCTGTATATTCAGGTGATAGCCCACTCCAAAACCCTTAAAATAGGGGCCTAAATGATTACCTATGCTATTTTGGGGGCTCCTTACTTGTAAGTATAGTATCATATACCCGAAAACCCCTGTTCTAATTGTTAAGGCCGTTATATTTTTCTAATCTTTAAGGCGCCTCAACTATACCCCCCAGAGGAGAGGCAACCCAAAGTCCGGCTTACCTACCTGGAGCCTACACCCTAAATGCTTAAACCCTAAACCCTAAATGCTTAAACCCTAAACCCTAAACCCTAAACCCTAAACCCTAAATCGCGCACACCTGAATCCTGACAGGCTACACGCCTTACTTGTGGGTCCTAAGCCCCGAAATCCTAAACCCAAAGCCCTAAAAGATCAAGCGGCAAATGTGAGTGATGACCTTATAAGATCCTACAGAACCCGACAGAACCCAATAAAACCCCAGAGACCGCTACTGACAAACTACATAGAAGTCCTGAACCCCTCGGCCCCTTCTAGAATCCCTCAAGACCCTTGACCCCAAACTGAGGCCATCAACATATCAAAAGTCCGTGTAACCGTACAACAGCACAGACCCCTACATTACCCCAATAATACGCTCTCAAAAATGTGCTGCCTATATACACCACCATTTTGAATAATTAAAACCGCCAGGACACTGGACAAGTAAGAAAAGCCTTAAACCCTAAACCCCTGAACCCCTAAAGCCTAAGCCCTAAACTCAAGCCTTAAAGCCTGAAGCCTAAACCCTAAACCCTAAACCCTCAACCCCAAATCCTAAACCCTTAAACCCCTAAACGCCTGAAGCCCTAAACCCCTAAACCCTAAACCCTAAACCCTAAACCCTAAACCCTAAACCCTAAACCCTAAACCCTAAACCCCCCTAAGCTCAAATCAAGGCTACTTGGAGCTCGACGAGCTCCTCCTGGCCTTGCGGACGCTGCCGAGCTGCCGGGGCTTGGGCGAGGAGGAGTTGGAGGCGTGAGAAAAGGGTTTAGGGTTTGGGGTTTAGGGTTCAGGGTTCAGGGTTTAGGGTTGAGGGCTTGGGGGTTTGGGGTTTGGGGTTGAGGGTTTGGGGTTTAGGGTTTGGGGTTTAGGGTTGAGGGTGTGGGGTTTAGGGTTTTAGGGTTTAGGGTTTAGGGTTGAGGGTTTAGGGTTCAGGGTTTAGGGTTTGGGGTTTAGCATTTAGGGTTTGGCTCAACCCTAAACCCTAAACCCTGAATCCTTAAACCCTAAACCCGACACTGAAAAAATACAAAAACCCTAAACCCCTAAACCCTAAACCCTAAAACCTAAGCCCCAGAATCTGAGCCCTAAGGCCCTCAACCCTTAAGCCCTAAACCTTAAAACCCTATAAACCCTACCCCACAAACCCTATGAGCCTATAAGCCCTATAAGCCCTACAAGCCTTATAAACCCTATAAACCTTATCATGAACCTTATAAACCCTACAAACCCGATAAAGCCTATAAGCCCTATAAACCTTATTATAAACCCTATCAACCCTACAAACCCTATAAAACCCTATAAACCCTATAAGCCCTATAAACCTTATTATAAACCCTATAAGCCCTATAAACCCTATACGCCTTATAAGCCCTATAAACAATATAAGCCTTATAAACCCTAAACCCTATAAACCCTATTACAAACCCTATAAACCCTATAAACCCTATAAGCCCTATAAACCCTATAAACCCTATAAACCTTATTATAAATCCCATAAACCCTATAAGCCCTATGAGCGCTATAAACCCTACTATAAACCCCATAATCCCTATAAGCCCTAAACCCTACTATAACCCCTACTATAAACCCCACAAACCCTATAAGCTCTAAACCCCCAGGCCTTCAGAAGAATGCGACCCAAGCGGGTTTGGAGTTTAGGGTTTAGGGTTTAGGGAGTTTAGGGTTTCTGTCGATGGGGAAAGAGTTTAGAGTTTGGTTTTGGGGTGCAGGGGGAGTTTAGGGATTGGGGTTTAGGGTTTAGGGTTTGGAGTTTGGGGCTTAGGGTTTGGAGTTTAGGGTTTGGAGTTTAGGGCTTCGGGTTGAGGGGTTTGGGGAGTTGGTTCAGGGTGAGTTTTCGACCCCAAAGCCCGACCCGACAGCGCTGAGAAGGGGCGGCTTTTATTTTGGGATCGGGGGTCTATATTTACACCCTAAACCTTCAAGCCTAAACACTCTCTGATATTTAAACCTTATATGGATTGGCGGAATATGTTGTTTTTTTGGTGTTTTCTCGCCAAATGCAACGAATGAAATGCAAATTTCCGCGAAACAAATGCCATGTTCAGTGAAGGCCGGAGCTTCGAGAAATATGGCAATTTCTTCGCGGAGTTTGTGAACATGTTATGTTGATAGTTCGCAAATTCCTTCAAGGGCGTCTTTTGGTGGGCATAGGCTGAACCCTAATAATGTGTTGATAGTTCGCAAATTCCTTTTGACTTCAAGGACTTCTTTTGGGCTTAGGCTGAACCCTAAACTGGAGTTCGGATTGCCATGTGGCCACGATGTGGGTTTTTAGGGTTCAGGGGTCTAGGGTGATTTAGGGTTTAGGGTTTAGGGGTCTAGGGTGGTTCAGGGTTTAGGGTTTAGGGGTCTAGGGTGGTTTAGGGTTTATGGTTTAGGGTGCAGCAGCTCCGGATCGAGCAGTTTCTAGTCGAGCTCAACTCCCGAATCCCACCCTAAACCCTGAACCCCAAAACCCTGGGTCCTAAACCCTAAGCCCCAAAAACCTAGGCCCTGAACCCTAAGCCCCAAAGCCTGTAAACTTTAAATCCTCAGCCCAAGGCTAGGCGCTATACTAAGCCCTAAAGCCTAAGGCCCTAAAGCCAAAGGCCTTAAAGCCAAAGGCCCTAAACCCTAAGCCCTGAACCCTAAGCCCCAAACCCTAGCCGTCAAAAAAAAAACGCCATATTCCACGAAGAAATTGTCAAATTCCGCGAAGCCTAAGCCCCAAAGAAGCCCTCAAAGTCAAAATGGGTTAAACCCTAAACCCTGAACCCTAAACCCTAACATCAACCCGACGCTTCGCGGGGACAACTTGGCAGGCGGTGGGCAAGTTTGTGGACCTCAACGGTGACGTGCTGATACTACAGGGGGTCTAGATAATTACCTGTGCTATTCTGGGGTTTTTTATCATAAGTATAGTCTGATGGCACCCAAAACCCTATTCTAATGATTAAGGCCCCTACATTAACCATCAGGTTTTTTGGTTTAAGGCCAGTTGAGGGTTCTGCGGTTTCGCGTTTGGTGGTTAGGATTTCGGGTGAAAACTGAAAGCGTCACACCTCAAGAGAAGAGCCTGCCAGAAGTAGTACGTTTCGTGCAAGAGCTTGTGTAAGCAGTTTATCCTTAACTTTGAACCCTGAGCGGCAGCTCTAAAGGCCAGGCAGCCGGTGGCATTGCTTATTCTGTCAAACAAGCAGCTCAATGCAAAAAGCCTGATGCCCTACGCCTTAAACCCTGAGCCTTATGCCCTCAACATAAGCCCTAAACTAAACCCTAAAGCCTCAACCCTACACCCTCAACCCCAAACCCTAAACCCTAAGCCCAGGGCCTGAAGCCATGCAGACCGCTAGGGGGATGAATCCATCCATCCAAACCCCTACACCGGGAGCCCAGTACCTTTTCACTACTTTTCAGGTTTAGGGTTTAGGGTTTAGCACACCCCCTGAGTCTGATCTTCAGCACACCCCTGAATTACGGGGTATACTCTCATGTGGGTGGTTGTCAAAATTATGGTCCCTTTTTGGGTCCTTATTATAATACGGCACCTAATATTTAGGGTACCCAAAAAGGGACCCTAATTTTGACAACCACCCATGTAGTCTTAGTCATAATCGTAGCCATACTAGTGATAGTGAGAGTCGATGGTATCCTAACGGTGATATGAGTAGGAGGTGTATGTGGCAGCAGTACCTAGTACAGCAGTGGTTCGGGACATTTTAAGTGCAACTGTCGCAGTATTGAGCTCAGTTGCCATTGTGACTCTGCTTGATTGCAGCCCTCGCTGCACTCTGCTCGAAATATATGAGGGAGCAAACACGTGGTCCCCAGGATACAATTTTCCTATCTACAAGAGGAAAACCTATGCGATTTCTTTCTCATTGCTCGTGGCACCTCAGGCGACAAGCGAATCAACTACGCAGAGCTGCTGCGAGCGCTGCATGGCCTTATAGGTGTTGTTCTTTGTTTGGTAATATAGAGGCCTTACGAATTTGAATAGGGTTATGGGCCCCTTTATAGTAGTACTATAATAAGGAACCCCCCAAAATAGTATAGGAATTTATTTAGTACTCGGTGATGGGAGGCTTCGTGTAAGTTGGAGCAGTTCAGGCGTCGGGCTGAGCGAGGCCAAAGATGGTTCAGTTCGTCAGGAAGCCGGAGGAGGGCGGCAGAAGGCGTATGCCCCTAAACCCTGAGCCTGACAACTACCGATAGTAGGGTTTAGGGTTTAGGGTTTAGAGTATTCCTTGGCGTTCCCAGTGCAGTTCTAGTATACTATAACCCAGCACCCTCTTTTAATCATTAAGGCATCTATAATGGAGGGTCCAAGGGTAACAATAAGTCACCAGTAGGAATTCGAAGACAAGCAGAAGAATTTCCGGAATCCCGAAGCCCTAAACCCGTAAACCCTAGACCTAAACCCTGAAACGCTAGACACTAAAGCATGAGCAAGTTGCACTTGTTTAAAATCTGAAAATGCACCCCTTTTCCGATGTCCAAAGCTCCTAGTTAAGGGCTCAGGTAAAAGGGTTTAGGGTCTAGGGCTTCTGAATTTTGGAGTCAAGTTATTTAGGGGTCCTGAGAATGTACTATTGCCGGTTTATTCGGGTCCCGCGTCAGTTCGTCTCCTTGCTGAAGCCCAAGTCGAAACCCAAACCATCAGCAAAACCACCGAGAGCCCTTAACCCATACCCCAATCAACCTGCCCCTGCCCTCCAACCCTGAGGGCCTGGGCCATACAGCCGACGCTTAGAGGACTAGTGCAGAATCCCTGTAAAGCCCATTAAAGAACGATGATGGAATCGTGAAATACCGGTGTGAACCTTGAGCACTTTTATAGAGCCGTATAGAGCCTCAAGCCCTAAATCCTAAACCTTACACTTCGCAAGTCCTAAGTCAAAAGCCGGCAATCATCACTCAGGCTCTCCGTCCGCCACTGCAATGCGGAGCGGCATTGGGAAAGGGTTTTGATAGGGTTTCATAAGAGTATTGAAAATGGTGTTCATAAAGGGTTACATCCTCCACAGGGACAGAACGGTCCACACGATCAGTATTGCACCATTCGGATTGCTATCACGATCGGTGCATCAGGGTTGCTATACTCTGAGCTTTAAACTCCAAACCTCTAAACAGGAGGGAGAAGGGTCCAATAAAACCCTAAGCCCCTAAACCCTCAACCCCTAAATCCCAATTCATGAGCCGGGGGATGGCTATCTGGTCAACATCTCCTCTTGGGAAGTGTCATGGAAGGAGCACTTCCTGACGACAGGCAGCCACGCACTCACAAGACTGAATGTGGAGAATGCCACGCTGGGTTCTTTTGTCTCAACTCTCAGCGATCTAACGGGGCCCTCCCCGCGAAGACGTTGTCCTCGGAGACGATGGTCTGATTGCACCCACCGGCCCATTGGAGGAAGTGAAGAAGGAAGACTTTGTCGCCCGTAACCCTAAACCCTAAACCCTAAGCCCTAAACCCTAAGCTCCGCAACGTGAAAGTCAAGGTCCCACGGGAGCAAAACACGAGTACACACCCAGCACAAAGTGGTATGGCTCGGGGCTTCCATGTCGGTTTCATTCGGGTTTTGCGAGGGGCTTGGGGTTTAGGGCTGAGGGTTTACAAACCCTAAACCCTAAACCCTAAACCCTAAACCCTAAATCCTAAACCCTAAACCTACGCGGGTATGGGGACATCACCTTTCAAAGGCTTATTCTTCTACGCCTCGATGCTGAAAAGCATAAGCCCCCAAAATCAGAAAGGGTTCTAGAAGAGTTTCAAATTTAGGGTTTAGGGTTTAGGGTTTAGGGTTTAGGGTTTGGGGTTTGGGGTTTAGGGTTTAGGGTTTAGGGTTTAGGGTTTAGGGTTTTGAAAGGATTGTGTGAGAGTTCTAGAGGGTTGTTGGATTGCACTTCAGGTTGGGGGGGTTTCAGATCTTGGTCACAAAACCAAAGCTTTTTTGCACTTCAACCTCTTTTCTAAGTTTCTACGTCTCCATAGTAGATGGTAGCTTTGACAAGTGAGGTACGCTCATGGCATTGAATGGGCACCCACCGCATGTGCAGAAGCTCCTAGAACTCCTCCCTGAACGCTAAACCTTAAACCCCAACTCCGAAACCCGGACCCTAAGCCCTAAACCTTAAACCCTAAACCCCTAAACCCCTTAATCCCTAAACCCTAAACCCTAAACCCCTAAATCCCTAAAAATCCCTAAACCCCTAGTCCCTACGACCCCCTCTTAAAACCTTAAGCCCGGACTCTTTTTCCGGTGTCAAAACGGATGCAAGCGTCACATCGCAGGATCCGGGCCGTCGCGGCCCAAAAGCCCTGCTTGAGGCGACTTCGGTTAGGGTTTAGGGTTTAGGGTTTAGGGTTTAGGGTTTAGGGTTTAGGGTTTAGGGTTTAGGGTTTAGGGTTTAGGGGCATTTCTGGG